TCTGATGCTGAGAAGTCATTAATTTCCACCTCCCTCCTGGAGGGGCTGGCAATTAATTGCTTAGGATTGGTGGGGGGGGGCGGGGGCAGCCTCCTCTTTAATTACCCCTTTGCAGTATGCTTCCTAAACCCCCTTAAGCCTGGGGCTTATTTGCATCTTGGCGCTTGACCGGGGAGCCCCTCCCCCATCATCACTGCTGATTTGTGGGAGTCCCCATCCATAGGAATGGAGGTCCACATAGAGCGGGGGGGGGAGACAGAGAAGCCCAAGCAGCAGGCCCACCAGGCCAAAGGGCACCCAGTCTACCCCCGGGTTCCAGAAAAGTCAATAATGTGGAAAGGGAAAATACGTGAGATATTTAAGGGTGGTTTCTACCCCCAGAGGGTCTCCATGGCTGAGAGGGAATTGGAGCTCAGGTCTCCCGAGTCCCACTCCAGCGCTCTTCCCAGCTGTCCCTTGCCCTGCATGCATTTGTGCCCTTGGGTGCTACCGACAGCGGAAAGGCACTCAACGATCACCCCACCCACCCCGTCCAACTCGTCTGACTGCACAGATGAGAGGATCGGCCACTGAATTAGCCTCACTTTTCGCCGAGAGACACAACAAATGGATTGAACAACAGTTCACATCCTGCAACCACTTAATTTATGATAGATGTCCAGTTAAGATCTGCTCTTAGGATGTAAGCAACTTAGGAAATGGGTCTGGCCGGGTCCTGGCGGGAATTCTTTGTAAAGCATTGTCTGCTGAGGTTCATCGTTGACTTATTTTGTCAAATGCCGTCTTAACTCTTCTGCGGCTCAGAAGGGCTCCTTTTTCAGATGACAGAATTTCAGCCTCCCGTCGGTCCCCTGGAGAGACATGCCAGCTCTCAAGGGCACGACAGCAAAGGCGATCCAGAGCCAGGAGGCCTCCTCCTGCCCCACCCTGTGCCAGCCCCCCCCCGCCCTCAAACAAGCAGCAGCGGGACTTGTTCCCAAGCCGCCCAAGCCCACAAATCTAGAAATGTGCTAGGCTGTCATCCAGAGTGTTACTGTCATAACCAGTTACATAATCGACACTCAGGTGTGCTCATCTGATGGGTTGGTGCAGGGGGGAGGGGGGAGGGATCGTGGAGGAGGAGAAGGATCAAGACTGAGCACAGCGCTGGTGTCAGCACTTGGGGAAGGAACAAGGTGGCTCCCCCGCACTCCCCGCCCCCCACTTCAAACACAGTCGCTTAATTTCCCAAGAGTTGCGGCTCTGGACTGGACAACGAGCGGCAAGTGTTTGAAGCAGGCATCCTTCCTCATTCTGGTTAAGTCAGAGCAGTGTGTTTATCCAGGCCGGCCCTATCATTGAGCAGAGATTGG